GCACTGATATTTCCCTTCTAAGCAATCCCAGGCACTGATATTTCCCTCTCTAAGCAATCCCAGCACTGATATTTCCCCTCTAAGCAATCCCAGCACTGATATTTTCCCTCTAAGCAATCCCAAGCACTGATATTCCCCCTCTAAGCAATCCCAGTACTGATATTCCCCCTCTAAGCAATCCCAGGCACTGATATTCCCTCTCTAAGCAATCCCAGCACTGATACTTCCCCTCTAAGCAATCCCAAAACCGACCTGACCACCACAAAGCTTTCTATGCTGAGAAGACGACAGAAACGTACCGGCAAATTCAGTTTAATTGCATCAACAGGCTGGTAGAAAGGCCAAGCAAACTGATGTTTCCACAAGGTCTTCACCACAACATTTTGCATATATTGCAGCTGGTTGGTTTTCCTGCCAGGTTTGTTGGGATTTGTCACCTCTGGAGGCGGGGGATTGACGGGGCCCTGAGGAGCCTGGATGGCTGAGGCGACTGCCGACATCTTCCTGCTCGGGCTCTCACTCGCTGTCACTGCGGCAGCAACGGGGAGATTTTCTTTCTTCCTTTATGCTCCCTGAATGGGACTGACATCCCATTTCCAGGGTGCAACCATACAACCTAGAGCAAACTAGAGAGAGAAAGAGGGAAGGGTGTAAAATAGAGGTTTTTGAAGCAGGCAGGTTGAGACATTTCTTGTGTAGACAATATTTAAACTCAAGCTCTTTATCCCATTGGCTTTGTTCCTGTGGCACAGTTTACCTTGGAGATGGGAACAGTTCAAGGCCCAAGAGACAGTGGAATTCCCAAATTCAAAGCCTGCAGACACAGCAAGCTCCATGGGACTAGTTCTTGCTTTAGCTGGCTCAGAGAGCATCTTCGTGTCAAGAAAACACTCGGGGCAACCTAAGAATCTGCTCTAGGATGCAATGCAGACTCCATGGATGCACTGATGCAAGGTGCTAAATCCACAGCTTCCAGCTCCATGTCAGCTGAACTGCATTGTCTCTAGAGCCACGCTGCCTGGTCCCAGCCAGCTCACAGGGCTCTGCCCTGGTGCAAGGGGCAGCCTGAAATCCCACAATGAACAGCAGACAGCACCTGCCAGAGGATCTCAGGCCAGGGAAATGAAAGAAGGGGCAGAGGGAGATGCTGTGAACTGCTGAGAGTGAAAGGTGTCACCAGGACCAGTCCAACTTGAAGAGATCTGCACTTTGAATCTCATAAATGTCTTATTATGCCTCTTCCTGCAGGCACCTGACTGGTTTTGATCCCAGTTTTATATCAAAGTTTAGAGATCCAGGCTCAGATAATAACTGGTGTTACACTGATATCCCGTGACCTGGCTCAGACAGTGCTGTCATGTTTCTCTCTCAAAGACACATTTGAAATAGAGGAGAACACATAAATTGCATTATTGTATTCTGGTTTTCCCTCTGCAAACTGCAGAGGTAAAAATAGCCCAGTATCACCGAGCCTTGTGTAGCATATGGTAAACAGCTTTGCTATGTCATCTTCCATAAACATTGGATATTTCAGCTCACATCAGGACTGCAGCTACTCTTCTCATGGCAAACAGACCACAATCACTTTCCAGAGGCAAATTATTTCAAATATGTTTAGAAATCCATACCAATATACTTTTTGGTTGAACAGAGAAGCATGAGCAGGGACAGAAGGAATGTAAAAGCAGGGAGACATCCTAGGAAAAACCCAAAAACCTCTGCATTAATACAGCCCTAATCATCTCTACTGAATATCTGCACTAAATATAGAACATCAACTTACCCTGTGAGCTGCTGATTAGATGAAGGCAAAAGTAAACATATACCTAACTTGGGGAAATTTTACCAAAATAGCTGTGTACAAACAAACAGATCTGCAGCAGAGAGGGTGGGAACTGCTACAAACCTAAACCAAACCCTGTGTGAATACATGTGATTATCTGTGCAGGGAACAGCCAAGTCCAGTTCTGATGCTGCCACCATTTGTTCAACACCCACTACATTCCAAGGATGGAGAAAAATGCCAGCAGGACTCTCTTGTATAGCTCCAGAATCATGGTCCCTGATTTTTGATATCTCAGGAGCCCAGTTTAGCTCCAAAAGGATTGGTTTCTCATGTGCTCATGCTGCTGGTGACAGGCAGGGTGAGCAGCAAGCAGCCAAAAGGGGTGCTGGCATCCCCTGGACAAGGAATTTCATAACTAGAATGTTATTTGGGATTTCAGTTTTGGGGAAGGATTTTGTCCCAGTGTTCCATCAAGTCAAAGCAGCAGCAGAAATATTGCAAAACTCAATCTTCAGATAGAGGGGGGTAAATAGAGAAAGAATTAAAAACAAGAAAAAAAGGATAATTGGGAAGTTTCACTCAGTCTCCTCCTGGGGAGCTCCCTGCATGGATTCAGGTTTCTGAGCAACATCCATCATCCCAGAGAATGCAAGGCTGCCTGCAGGTCCCTGGTGACCACCACTGAAACATTTTGTTTGCTGTCTTCTTGATTAACAAACTGAATCCAGTGCAAGGATTGAGGGGGAATAAAACACCCACAGAGAGCATTTGGGTCACAAGTTTCAAACTATGAATTGTAACTTAAGTCTTCCCTTTAAATAACCTGAGGCTAAATAGGAGTCTCTTTTCATTTCAATTTCCTCATGTCCTACCTCTCAAACTCCAATTTGATAAGGATTTTTGATTAATTTGTATTAAATCCCCAAACTGTAATTCAACAAACTACAGATCCATAGCTCCTACATCTCTCAGACTTTTTCTCCCTGACCTCAGCCAAGGCTTTCAGTATCTTCACCCCACAGCTCCTCACCTGTGCCATGGAGATAGTGGCAGCTCCTTTCTGTCCCCACCCAGCAGAGAAAACTCCCTGGCACAGGCACTGCCTCCCCACAGGGCCATTTTCATCCTCAAGCTTAAACAAGGCTTGGACAGTCCATAAAAGCATAGAACAGTCATCAGTGACACAACTCAGAAAGGATTTTAATTAAGGACATTACCAAAACAAGGAGGGGCAGAACCATGACAGCCAACTTGGTCGGTTCCCTGCTCCAACACACTGGGTTTTACACCCCAAAGTGGCTCCAAAGCTCCCAGCAGCACTGGCACACAACTGCTGGATCCTGCACAAGACAGAAATAGCTACCTGGAAGTACTGTCCTGCCATAAATAAAGCTTTAAAGTGCCTCACTGTACCTTCAACCCTTGGTCCAGCAGTTTCTTCACCATTTGCTGGGAAGCTGCTTTGATACAGAATACTTTGTAATTTTTAAAACTAAGAATTTGCTTCTACAGCCATTCCTTTACCTTTACAAACTCAAAATGGTATCATTTTTATAAATGTAAAAAGCAGGACTATGAGGAATCTGGAAGATGAGGGTAAAAATGCTTTGGAAATGTCCAAAAGGCAATGGCTTTGAATTAAAGATAAATTAATGCCTGAGAAATCTAGCCCATGTGAAACATCATTTATTAAGAGAGGGAAGTGAGAGCTCTGACCATCTGACATCCCAAATTACCACACAAATCACCCAAGAGGACACTTCAGTAGAGCCACACACAAAAATTAAGCAAGCTTTTACAATTATTCCATAACTACAGGTAGAATTGAACTACACAGCTCTCGTCTAAGCACTCCAGCACCCTCTGAAACTGCACTGGTATCAAGAAATATTTCAACTATTAGGGACAGTGACTCAGGACATCACTGTACAAGCCTGGAGTGCAGACTGCCAAAACCAGACACCACGTGCACCTTTCAGTGAGGGGCTAAGGTGAGATTTCTTTTAGCCCTGCAGTAAAATCTTCATAAATTTTAATTTTTCAATCACTACTTATCCTGCTCCTCAGGCCTATAATGTTCAAGTAGCAGGAGCTATTCTTGATTTCTCTGTCTGCAGAAGTGGTTTTGATATTGCAAGTTTAGAATACACCCTGAAGTGCTGTCATACACAAAGAATGAACACTGCTTTTCCTTCTTATTCAATTTGAGATAGTAATTAAAAACAAACCCAAAAACCTCAAAGAAGGGAGGTTTTAAGTCTTGGAGTTTAAGCTCAGTGTGGCAAACCAGGCATCAAAAAACCCAGCTAGGTAGGATGAATACTAATTATAAGAAATTTATTACCTTAATATGTAAATGCAGTAATACATTAGTCTTAACTTACATTATATTAGCTTAGTGCACATGCGTTACCCAAAAGTAAATTAAAAAACAAAAAAAAGAGAAGTCTTCATCCAAAACAACCCCCAAAGACTTGTGCGACCACCAAACCAAGTAGTAAAGCATGCGTAAAAGTAATAATAAAAACAAAAATAAAAAAACCAAACCAAAAATGAGAAAAAATAACATTAACACATAGCATATAAAAAATAATTTTCACTTAACAAATTTGTATGTAAAGTAACAAAAATCCCAAAACTCTGCCCTCCGTACCCCACAGTATCTTTTGCTTATGTGCTATTATTAAAACCTAATTATCCCTTATTTATATATTTTCTAAACTATTCAATTCAAATTACTACTACCTTAAATATTATTTTATTTCTTTTTAATAAAATAATTAAACAAACATAACAGCAGCCTGGCAGTCCCACAACTCCTTGTTTTTCCCCTCTCCTTGGTATAGTATTTCAGCGTGGTTACTTGGACATTGATCAAAATCTGGCAGAATTCCAGCTCGGCAAAGAAACAACCACATAAATCTTCCCATCAGGGAAAATTATCGAGTTTGAGAGATGTTCCTTGACCTCGTTGTTATCTGCACATTTTTATTTACATTACAGTAGCACACAGAGGCTGGGCAGAGACCAAGGTCCCTCAGCAGTTCACACTCTGCACACACACAGACCCTGCTCATTCCTCACAGGGCTGCTGCTCACAACTCACACTTTACACCATGGAGAGGTGACTTGCTCACAGCGCCCCAGTCAGCAGCCAGACCCAAAATTTGCCAGCAGGGCAGCCAGAGCAGTGTCCTCCAAGCATTGCTCCTTGCAGCCTCCAAAGCAGATTCTCAATCTCTTTTTTCCCAACAATTGGAAGTTTGCTCAGATTGGTCACCATGTGAGAGAAGCAGCCCAGCCTTGGTCATCTTGCCCTGACTTTCTCTGCAGGAGAGGTTTAGCACTTCTGAATGTCAATACAAAGTCAAGGAAGGTTATTAATGAGGGTTGTACCCATTTCATTCTATGGCTGTAGAAATTAAGGGTTACATCAATCTCCTCAAAAGGAAACAAAACTTGTGGATGTCTCCTTTTCCTCCTCCTTTTCCTTCCCTTCCCAGCCCCACAGAGGAACTGAACTTCAGGCAGCTCTCAGTACCTACTAACATGTCAGCAGGGATGGTGCCTTCAAACACGAGGGATGTGCAATTTGAGAGCAAGACTTGAGGACAGACGAGCTGCTTTATCAGCCAACCCTGCCCTGGCAGACAGACACGCTACACACAACATGCCACCCCCTCAAGACACTGGGATTTACACTTTGCTTCCCTGCAGGAGTGGGAATTTGGCTTGCAGTGCTCCTATGGCACACTGCAGCACTCTCCAAGTCCACTCAGCCATCCTTGCTGTCTCCCAAATCATTAATTCCACACATCACAGATTTGCTTTTCATGCATA